CCTCATCTGGAGTACTGTGTCCAGTGCTGGGCTCCCTAGCTCAAGAAAGATGAGGAGCTACTGGAGAGAGTCCAGTGGAGGTCTACAAGGATGATGAGGGGACTGGAGCATCTCTCCTATGAGGAAAGTCTGAGGGAGCTGGGGTTGTTTAGCCTGAGAGGGGACCTTATAAATGCCTACAAATATCTGAAGGGTGGGTGTCAGGAGGATGGGGCCAGACTCTTTTCAGTGGTGCCCAGAGACAAGACAAGGGGCAACAGGCACAAACTGAAGCATAGGAACATGAGGAAGAACTTCTTCCCTCTGAGGGTGATTGAGCACTGGAACAGGCTGCCCAGAGGGATTGTGGATTCTCCTTCACTGGAGATATTAAAAACCTGCCTGGACAAGGTCCTGTGCAGCCTGCTGTAGGAGACCCTGCTTCAGCAGGGGGGTTGGACCAGATGATCCACAGAGGTCACTTCCAACTGCTACCATTCTTTGATTCTGTGATCTATGTAACTCTGTGAGGAACATGAATTAAGTGGCAGTTGCAGTGTAGGAGAATCTCAAGGTATTTAAGCAAGCTGGGTGGATGGCAGACAGGAAAAACAACTTATGGCAGTGCTGACTTTGAGTCAGTTTCTGAGAAAGACCAAGGACATCAGCTGGGCTATTACTCCTAAAGCATATTTGTCAAATGTAGTCCAATGAGTTGGAGGAGCCCTCAAGCAAATCTAAGAGTAAATCAATATCATCAGCAGTGTATTTTGACTGATTTGACTGCCAAGACTAACTTGCTCATCTATTTCTGCTCATTTAATTGAAACTGCAAATATCATGAGTTTATTGGGAATAGATTGATTAACATGAAACATCTTGTAAATGCCTTTGAAATGTAAGTCAGGACAAATAATCTGAGTTTGAGCTCTGTGAGTTCAGACAGTGGAAGTAGGAATCAAATTGCGTATTATAAGTTGGATTGAATGTGTTCAACTCTTCTGACTCTCTCTCATGCGCTCTCACTCTCTTTGGTTTTTTCTTTCTTCTTTCTGTAGCTACAAAAAAGCTTTTTGGCAGTTGGACTCTTAGCTGGTCTGGGTCTGTTCCAGTTCCTTACAACTGAACTTTACTGCAGAGAAGAAGTAGCCCAAAGCAGAACATGGAAATTATTGATTACAGAATAAGAGTTACAAGCCCCACCAGCAGCCCATGTCACTTGTCTCCTCTGTATGTTTTTCTTATCCTGAAGATAAGATTCCTCATACAGTCTGAGGAATCCACCCTCATTGCACCTAATTGCTCTCTGAGACAGGTCCAACAGCTCTTATGAGTTCAAGAGGCTGGAGAAACTCAGAAAGAAAATTTTCCAAGGAAAGTCTGGCTAGTATGTCATTCAAAGAGTGCTGCCTGCTGGGCCAAATACGAAAGGCTGCTCAGTGTAAGTGAGCTAAGCTGTGTCCCGTAGCCAAAGAGGGGTGCCACTTGGGCAACACCATGTGGAAGCTAGCACGTGTCCAAGCTGAAAAGGAAGGGGCACAGAGCTGACACCATCGTTTTAATACCTGCTTCAGGTACTGCTAAAACCTATAGGGTTGCTGGAAGCAAAAGTCACAATGGAAAAATAAAAGATGTAATTTTCAAAGGTTAATACAATTCAGCACTGTGCAGGACCACTGAGGGCTCAGGTCTCCATTGCTCAAATCAAGGTAAAATAGATTTTCTCAAATATGTTTGAGCACGGCCAGAAGTTTGTGGGACTAGATACAGAAATTTCCAGATGAGACTCTGATCCTCAGTTAAAGCATAGGCCACCTGTGAAATCAGCGAGTATGGTCCTTCTTCATATTAAATCCACTTTTACCCTATAAAATAAGCAGTGTGTGTGTGTGTGTGTAGCTGCAGCCTGGTATGCAAACTGGAAGTCTTCTAGACTGAACAAAAGAGAGACAGTGTAAAGACTTGAGGGATGAATACGAGAAAGGGTATTTGCCATTTGTTTTTGACAGAAGGAGGAGGTTAGTCTCCATCAGCAGGAGGCCCCGTTCTTCAGCTCTTTCCCAAGTAGAAGGACTTCCGTTAGTATTTTGTATCTGGCAGATTTGCAAGATCTGCCAGGCTGACTGTCGTATTTATTTCCAAAAAATGATAATTACTTTTACCACAGATTCGATGTCCTAGTTTCTTTTAGAGACTGAAGGTTTGACATTGCAGCTCTACGGGAGTCCATCAGCCTCTCATCCAGACCTCAGTCAGCAGACACTGAAAGAAATCAGAATTTGCTCCTTTGGACAGAATCACTTTGCTGAAGTACAAGTGCGGAGCTAAAACTGAATATAGAGCTGTGAATGACATGCCAGCTAGTATCTATTCTGTACGTTTTTTTCTTCCTGAATAGGTTCCTTTCCATATGTCAACACTGCATTTATTTTTTTTGTTTTTTACAGTGTCATAAGAAATAAACTCCCTTTTGAAGATTTTGATGGAGACAAATTTAGTACTTTCCCGGTAAGCAAAGCCTTTCCTTTGATACAGTAATCCTTTGATAATGAGAAAGTCTATGGGATTCCTCCTACTTTCAGGAAAGCCTTACTCATTCATGTGAAAATAGGTATAGGAATGAAGTGAATGAAAGGTCTTTTTTGTCGTAAAAGATGGATTTTTTTTTTCTGGATGAAAAAACAACCATTCATTTATGCCACCTGGGAGGATGCACACATAAAGCTGTGCTCCCTGCAGAAGCAAATTGCTCTGCTGCTGAGTGGTCTGTTTACTGAATTAACAAGAAGTGAAAAAAAAGTCATACAAAAAACCAAATTGAATTGCCAGCTTGTCTTACTTCTTCACCAGAGTGTGCAAGGTGTCTTTTATTAAAGCTTAGCAAAGGGGCTCTGGAATACAACCCATTTCCTGGGTTTTATTCCTGCACCTTGACTTAGATTCTCATTTTAGATATTTTAAATTAAAAGTGCAAGAGTAACAATGACCATCCTATCTGCATGCTTCTCTTGGTTTTAGACATTGAGGGGCTATCACTGGCGAGGCAGAGACTGCAACGACAAAAACAACACCGTGTACCCTGGCAGACGGTAAAGCTTTTAATTATTTTAAAGGCTTCCTAAGAAGTGTGGCCTCCTGAAGAACAAGCTCCATATTTGTTTTCAGCCGTACTCTACGAGAGCATGTCACGCTGACTGCTGCTTGATCTCACTGTGATGAAGATGAGAGGGGGTGATCGAGACCAGGGATGGGGCACATTAGCCTGAGGAGTGGTTCACAGGTTTCTTTCCTTTCTCTGAAGCATCTGCAGCCAAAATTGGTCAGTCAGACCAAAGGCGGGGAGGGAGACCAAGCCGCTGAGGCTTACAAGCCTTATGCCGCTTGAGCTAATGCGGGCTTTGCCTGCTTTAGGGAGCAGCAGGGTGGGAGGGCAAAGCAGTGGTGTTCATGGCTGCCTGCCGAGCTCCAGCATCCAACCTTCATGTTGGTGGAACCATAGAGCTAAATACGTGCCCTTCTAAGTGAATATCTTCTAGGTGAGTACCTCCCAGCTGCCTGAGCATGGGCTTCCATGCGCACCTGAAGTGGAGAGCACAGCCAGTCGTAACAGCGTGACCCTGAACAAGGCCCCCGCTCTTGCTGTTTTACCCCCTGCTCAAAATACTCTTTCAAAAATCAAGCTCTCCTCTACCAGGGGTTTGTTAAGAAGTTACTGACCAGAACTGTTTTTACAGCCTAGGCATTAGCAGGCTTGTGACTAGATAAGCTGAGTTTAAGGGTGTGGGCTGGGAAGAACCGTGTGCCGTCAGCCCGGGCAGCACACCTGCATTAGCAGACATGGGCTCCCAGAGTCCATGTGCAGTGCCAGGCTGAATAGAGGGAGTCTCCCTGTCAAGGAGGCCTGAGCTAATTATACCCTGTTATGGGCCAGAGCAAACCCTCATCACCCCGCACTGAATCTGGAGTTGGGGGCTTGGGGGAGTTCAGTGCAAACTTCAAAGCAAAGAAAAGGGCAGGGGAAAAGAGTCCGTCTTCTGCAAAAATCATCCCCGTTCCCTTAACCTAAGTGAATACGCAGACTAAAAGGGTAAGTTTCATTCAGCAGTTTCCAGTATTAACTTTTAATTCATATTTCATTTTGTTAGGAAAACTGCCTCTCCTGGATTCAAAAGGGGGAAGAAACCACCCTTCTGTGCAGAAAAGAACTTCTAATTATTTCATATTCTTAATGAAAAATGGCAGAAAGGATCTGATTTCTTCAAAACCCCCCTTGCTTTATTTTCTGTGACACTGTATGTGCTGTAGCTCTTGTAATATCTTGTATATCTCATAACTTTGTTTCAGTCCGGAGAACTGGGATGTGAAAAGTGACTCTAACTGCAATGGCATATGGGTAAGTAAATGAAGTTACACCTTATACTTCCTTCCTGATTGCTCCTTCTCTTTTTTCCTCCCTTTAAATTAGTCTGCAAATGTTTATTTTTTATTTATTCTGGTTTATTAACTGATTAGGATTACTCCTAATTATTTGCTGCCTTTGGTATTCCAAGTATTAAAGCTGTATTTATTAAAAGCTAAGGAAACACAGGCGAAGCAGTTAGGAGTGAAGTTTGTTTATAGATGCTTATGACTATTTAAATTATGGTTATTATAATTAATTGAAATGTACATATACTTATTAAAATAATGTAATGGAAAGCATCATTATCATGATGCAGTGCTTTCTGTAGGCAAACATTCAATAAAAACTGAATTCTCAGCCTCTGTTTGCGCTGCCATTTTTCAGGCACTAGGTAGATACCATCATCTGCCCCTTCTCTCCTCCAACAGGGTGTGGATCCAAAAGACGGAATTCCCTACGAGAAGAAATTCTGCCAAGGTAAATCTTTGCAGTCAATACAAGGCACAGTGTGTCTTTTGTATTCATTTCATAAGTAGTTCAATATTTTCATGATCATTGCCAATGTAGGGGAAAGACAACGCGCTTTACAAGTTCATGAGAAAGACAAAATGGCAAAAAAATCTTTTTTTTTTTTTTTTTTTCCGTCTTGAGGATGGGCAAAGGTGAAACAGGACAAGCACAGGCTGCTGGTAATCTCCTGTTAAAAGCCAAGCACCGTTATTCAGTTGAGATACATAGATCAGGGACAACAGCAAACGGAGATGTTGCCTCTGCGTCTTCTGTGGTGCCTGAAGCCCAACCCAGAGGTATGGCCTTGGGATTCAGGAGAGCAGTTTAATGTCCGCATTTGGCCAGTTTGACCCATTGCTGTGAATACCGGCGATCATGCTGGTACTTTTCTGGAGAAGGCCTTAAAGCGGGGAAGCGATGGCATCGGCTGATCTCCCTGACCGTGGTGCGGGTGTCTGTGTACACACATACGCACAAACACCACCCCTGCTAAACAGCCGTGACTGCAGTTGCTGCTCACACAGAATCCCAGAATCACAGAATGTTAGGGGTTGGAAGGGACCTCTGTGGGTCATCTAGTCCAACCTTGCCTTGCATTTAAATCAGCATCCTGGGGATGAACCATTGCCTGGCAAGACTTTTCAACGTTTCTTAGATGAAAGGCAATCTACAAATGCTAAGTAACGTTAAGTATAAACCAGCCAGCTTGTTCCAGAAGTACTCGTATGAGTAGCACATCCACCACCCAGTTCTGTTACAAGGAGCTTAGAGCAGTTTCTTGAGTATTATGATTTCCCTAAATGTTTAAGTACTTTTTAATACATATTCTATGGGTAGTAAAAATAAATGTTGGTTGCACAGCAGAGCCTCTGCTGAAATAACACATCCAGCCTTGAAGACAACAGGGATTATTTCTGATTAGCAAGATCTCTCCCTGTTTTACACACCCCGTCCCCCATTGTTTCTCCAGGGTTGTTGGCACGTGCCTGATAGCCAGTTTTTGCTACAGATGGAGTGAAAATCACATTGGAGGGGCTGAACATTTCAGCCACGTGAAGAGTGGTGTAGCCAGTCACCCGGTGCCATTGCTGTTCTTCGTCAAGCATCGCTCTCTGTGCTCTGTTTCAGTTTGCTCTTTCTGCTCTTGAGACTAATAAAATGCATTAATTAGGTGCAGACTCGCAAGGGGTCGTGCTGCTGGGAGACTCGGCCGGCGCTCACTTCCACATCCCTCCCGAGTGGATGACCGTCACGCAGATGTCACCGGTGAGGAATCGTGTTCGGGTTGCCCAAACCGCTCCGCTGCGGGTTGCCGTTTGCTTTCTCCCCTGAGCCGCGGGTTGCCAAAGGGGAACAAGCACAAAATGCCTCTTGTTGCACTGGAATTTATCGTCGTGGTCTCACGGGTGTCAGTGCCCTCCCACAGCTGCTCTTCCGAAGATAAAAAAGCATAGACCTGCGCTACCGCCGCTCCCTCGACATCTGTGCAATTGGGTCAGGAAAGAGTTTGGCTTCGGTGGCCCGGTGCTGTGCCAGAGACACAAACCAGGACATCTGGCTTTCCACACACGTTCCTGCGGTTCAAGGAGGCACGTGCTGTCTGTGGTATGAGTCCTGCTGATAGCGGGCTTATTGGTACGGCTCCTTGCCTGCTGTGCTCGTGTTGCAGAAGTCACCCTGCTGACAGCCCGGCAACTTCTGTTTTAGGCATCTGGCTTTGAAATTATGTGTCCTCAATTGTTTTTCCTCACCTGTGGTGTGTGGGAAATAGGTCTAGTAACGCCAGCATTCAGGCTCTGAGGCTTTGAACGAGTACATCTGCAGCTGTTCGAGGGTCATCCAAGGGTTTATAATGGACTTATAGGGAAACTCTTCATCCCCTAAAGGGAAGAGTTTCTGTAGTGGCCATAAAATATCACTATCACACTGATGTCTGTCTTTGGGCAGTATCCCAGCATTTCCCATTTTCAAACAACCGCAAAACGCACCTGTCTGTGAATTACGCTGAGCCTCAGCTGTTGCAGCTCAGTGTCGTGGAATGAAATAATTGGGGGGAAAAGATCATTACAGCAAACTGCAATTGTGGGGGTGGAGATAAACGTGCAGGTACGCTCCTCTCCTTTGCTGCTGTTTCCTATCCCAAGCCGGTGTCACTCTCTAGCCAGGGAAGACTGTTCTCTGCGCAAGGGTCTGTTGCATGGGGGTGAGCAGATAGATCGTCATTGCCCACCTTCCCTGGTGAAAACCTGCTACTCCTCCATTGGCCTCTGTGGAAGAAGGGTTTGGACATTTTCTGGAGAGCAATGCTTAGTCCAAAATGTCAGTAGTTACAGTGCTGTTGGAGGTCTGAGAGTTTTGAGTGTTTTCACACTTGTGCTCACGGAGCTGAGCGGATTTAAATGTTGGAGATTAGCCGTTGTTTTTCTTTGTTAAACGTTTATGAGCAATGATTAGACGAATGACACTGATGACAGAGCTGATGGTGAGCATAATAAATTAGCACTAATGATAATTGAGATTATCTTGTCTAATAAAGATGGTAATAATACTGATGGTGATGATGATTCTGGCAGTAATGCTGGTAGCAGAGCCGTGTAGGCAAGTATCGTTTTAGACTATGTCAGCATTTTATTGTCACTGTAATGAAGGTTTAGAAAGCATTTCTCTTGCTTGAAGATTGCTGGTCCCCTAGCTGGGTGGGTCGAGGGCTGGTAATGGCATGCAGAGGCAGAAGCTTCAAGGTAAGGAGCTGGAGTGCAAATTATAAAGTGAGCCTTGATGGCACCTTGTGACTATCTGATGGGTGTAGAGCAACTTGCACGGGAAGGGAACTGGTGCTCTCTGTGTAAGGCCCAACAAATACATGCTTTCAGTGCTCAAGTCCACCTGGCCAGCGTGTGGGCAAGATCAAGGACTGGTTGGAAAGGGAGAAGTGGGCTGTGTTCCTTTACAGAAAGGGTGGCTTCAGGTTAGTACTGCTGAGTCCCAAAGTCAGGGGTCTAGCTGAGGTGCAGCAACACAGAGCAAATGGTGTTGGGACCATCACTGAGGACACCTGCCTGCATGTTGCTGCAGAGGCAGCCGAGCACGTGGCTCTGTTCTTAACCTGCCATCGCTCCCGTAAATCCCCAGACACCCAGAGTGCAGTTACAGGAGGAGAATTATACAGCTGTAAGATGGGGATCAGTCAACTTTATTTTGTCTTTCTGCTTGTCAGTGGGTTTTGGGTTTGCCAAGCTTTTCTTCTTTGAAAAGGTTCAGCAAGAATTGAGCTGAATGTTCATTCCTTTGACCTGAAAATTTGGACATGAAAAATGAATTGTAATGCAGTGGACATATACTTTATGACGTTTTTCAAAGCAGAAGAAATAGTGGGGGGTGTTTTTGAGCTGGATGGTTTTTGCAGATAGCTAATGTTGAAAACACTGATGTGTCTAGCGATGGATATTGTGCTCCTGCTGCTCTGTCCATCTGCTTACAATTGACTTCCAAATAGCTACTAAATGCAGCATTTTTCTGTTATATGTCTGGGATAGAAGCTTAGTTTCAAATCTCATTTTAGAGACAATTTTATCTGGAGATAAAAGCACTATATTTATAAATGTGCTGGAAATTATATCCTTTCTAGGAAGATGCATTTTAAAACTCTTGGATCGCTATTTCATGCTGAATAAAGAGCAAAAAAAATCCCATGTCTATCTGTAATCCAGTAAATATCTATTTGCCCACAAACTCAAGGGGTTCTCAGGTTTCATTAAAGTAACTGCTTCATACTATATATTTCCAATTAAAAGAATTCAGCATTTCTTTAAACGTGGGTGCAAGATGTCCCAAACACTTATCCCACTGACTTCTTTTTTTGCACCACTAAGAAAAACAGGAGTTTGATCTGTGAAAATCTTATTAACAATATTCTCTAGCTTCCCTCTAAATCCAGTGAACTGCAGGCAAGTTTCTCCCAGCCAGTATTGCGATGACTAAGATGCTGCATTTTGGGGGAAATAAGGTACTAGATTTGCTAATTTCAAACCCATGTCCCTTGCAGTTTTACAGAGTAGAAATGCCACACATGGTTTTTAAAAAGATAGGCTGTTCCTTCCTCAAGAGCTCTGAGGTTTACTTATTTGTGTACTTAGAATTAGAAAGTTGTCTGTTGTACTTAATGCTGTCCTGAGGATTTGAAAGCTGTTAAAGTCAGTATAAAAACAAATACCCAATTCCCCTGCAAATTAAGGGATACTTCAGTGCTTTCAGGATTTCTGCAGCTGGCATTTCTAAAGGCTTATGCGAGTGTTATACTTCCAATGCCCTTTTGTGTCCTGATTTTGCAAATCTCTTGCCATAGCAACCCTGAGCATCCTTCCATTTAAGCCAGCTTGGTCCAGCGCAGCTTGGTGTGTGTGCATTCAGCATCAGCCGTGGCTTGCCTGGTGCGAGGGAAGCGGGAGGGTTCAGGGAGGTGTACTTCAAGGTAGGACACACCTAGGAGGTGAGGACGTTCCTTCAAAAGGAGATGCATCTAGAGCATTTGAGGCTCAAATACGGCATTTGAAGCTAGGCTGGAATAACTTCCTAATGATTCTCTGCTAAAATCTGGCACGTAGGCTGAAGCATGGTTTCGCAGCCAGAATAGTCTAGAGAATGGCATTTAAACAAGGCTGTGCTCAGAGGAGTTTTAAGCTAGAAGTCAACATAGATCCACCTCTCGAGAGGGACACATTTGCATCTGAGACTAAGTGAAAAGAAGTCTGTTAGACCACGCTTTCCAAAATCCATCCCTGCAGAGTTCAAGGTCTAGCATTCTTCTGAAATTTCCATTAACTATTCATCTTCACCCTTCAGTCCTGAAATATCCTCAAAAGTCTGGCTTTAAGTGCTTTGCTGGAGCAGTGTCAATGCTAAACGTATATACAGCTTTCAAACGCAACTATAATTCTGGACTCAAATGTTCCTTTCCAAACCAATTTGCAACTCAATTAGGTTCTGGCTAATTCATATTGAAGATAAGCTTGCAGGGGAAAAAAACAGTTAAAAATTATTGGGACTTGTCCAATGGATATATTATTTTGGAGTGCTAACAGGAAATAGTAAGACAATTGGTCATAGAAGGATTTGTTTTAAGGATATTTAATCATTTTGGGTCTCTCTTTATACTCATATGCTGTGACTTATAAGACATCATATCTATAGTTTGTTCTACGGTAAGTGATTTATTTCAATATTTCTGTCACCTTTAATGCAAAGCTACAAGGAGGCAAATATTGCAAATGGCCGAGCCATATTGTACCCCTCTGCTTCTGCTCATAGCTGTGCCCTTGGATGAAGTGCTTGTTTGCACAAATAACTATCAGATTTGAAGAAGGCAATACTGGAAGTTCCCTCCAGTCTTTAAAAAAAAAAGTATGTATATACAGATATACATAAAGACATACGCACATATATATGTATGAGAGAAAGAACCAACTGAATGATAATTAAGCCCGACCCATTTTCACCTTGATAACTAATGCAGATCCACTGTAAGCAGGTCAAATATGCTGTTACTTGCTTTAAACTGGCATCTGCTGTGCATTAGGCTGCTCAGAGCTTGGCTTCAGGATTTCTAACTCCCCCCCAACCTCCCTTTTCTCGCCTCTCCTCCCCTTTCCCTGCATCTCTCCCCATCCTCTTACAGTCAAAACCCACAGGCAGATACTCAAGCATAGCTCCCATTCACCTAAATGGTAATTTTGTGGGAACAAGGACTCGGTGGAGACCACAAGATTTAGCTCATCTGTGGCTCCTCGGTTACCTCTGACCCTCCTGGAGAAAGAATTATCCACCTGCTTGCTGTTAATAGCAGTGAGGGCTTAAGGAAAACCCACAATTGCTTTACAAGAAAATGAAGCCAGTAAATTACACTGATTAAGCCAGCCTCTAAGTTCTCTGATTTTACGTTTTGACCTTCTTTTGGTTATTACCTTTTTCATCAACAGTTTTTCAGTAGGAGCACCCCAGATTTATGCATTTGTCTTTGTGAGTGTACCCTGGACTAGAAGCTGAAGATTTACTCCATGTTCTCGTCCTTCTGAGGTGGTGCAATTTCTCGAGGCCATTTTTCTCATCTTTCACAATTTTTGACACGTTCACAAATCAAATAGGAAACAAAGAGGGCTCTGTGTTTTGAATGTGCAACATGGCTTGCATCTGTGTAGAGGCTCTCACAGAGGCAGCCACTTAAAAAATGTGTTAGGGTCTGTGGTGGTTTTAGCTGGGAGAGAGCTAAATTTCTTCATAGTAACACGTATGGGGCTCTGTTTTGAATTCGTGCTGCAAACAGTGTTGGTAACACAGGGATGTTTTGGTTGCTGCTGAGCAGTGCTCACACCGAGCACTGCTGCTCCTCAGACCGCCCCGCCAGCGTGTGGGCTGTGGGTGCACAAGAAGCTGGGAGGGGACACAGCTGGGACAGCCAAGCCCAGCTGACCAAAGGGATATTCCACACCATATGACATCATCCTCAGCAATAAAAAGCTGCGGGAAGAAGAGGGAAGAGGGGGACTTTTGAGTGATGGTGCTTGTCTTCCCAAGTAGCCGTTACGCGTGACAGAGCCCTGCTTTGCTGGAGATGGCTGAACACCTTCCTGCCGATGGGAAGCAGTGAATGAATTCCTTGTTCTGCTTTACTTGCATGTACAGATTTTGCAAAAGCAGAGAAGGGTAAAGGTTGCATCTATTTGCATGGGAAGGTTATGGCAGACCGTGTGTTTTTCTCCCTGGTCCCTGCCATCCTCAGGGGCCTTTCTGACTCTGCTGCTTCAGTGCCATCGCTGAAATTTTCAGTGAGGACAAGGCAGAGGTTTTTAGGGGGTCGGATGCTTGCAGTTCATCCTGCTGGAGTGAATTCAACGTTATCCCTCTGCCATATCTGTTGGGAACACTGTCATGGCCCCACAGCATCCTCCTGGAGAAGCTAGCTGCCCATGATTTGGATGGGTGTACTCTTCACTGGATAAAGAACTGGCTGAATGGCCGAGCACAGAGAATGGTGGTGAATGGAGTTAAATCCAGCTGGTGGTTGGTCACGAGTGGTGTTCCCCTAGGGCTCAGTTTTGGGTCCAGTTTTGTTTAACATCTTTATCAATGGTCTGGATGAGGGGATTGAGTGCTCCCTCAGTAAGTTTGCAGATAACACCAAGCTGTGTGGGAGTGCTGATCTGCTCAAGGGTAGGAAGGCTCTGCAGAGGGATCTGGACAGGCTGGATTGATGGGCTGAGGCCAACTGTATGAAATTCAACAAGGCCAAGTGCTGGGTCCTGCACTTGGGTTGCAACAACCCCATGCAACACTATAGGCTTGGGGAGGAGTGGCTGGAAAGCTGCCCAATGGAAAAGGACCTGGGGGTGTTGGTCAACAGCCGGCTGACCATGAGCCAGCAGTGTGCCCAGGTGGCCAAGAAGGCCAGCGGCATCCTGGCTTGTATCAGGAATAGTGTGGCCAGCAGGAGTAGGGAAGTGATCGTGCCCCTGTGCTCAGCACTGGTGAGGCCACACCTCGAGTACTGTGTTTGGTTTTGGGCCCCTCACTACAAGAAGCACATTGAGATGCTGGAGCATGTTCAAAGAAGGGCAACGAGGCTGGTACAGGGTCTAGAGAACAAGTCTTATAAGGAATGCCTGAGAGAACTGGAGTTGTTTAGTCTGGAGAAGAGGAGGCTGAGGGGAGACCTTATCACTCTCTACAACTATCTTAAAGGAGGTTGTAGTGAGGGAGGTGTTGGTCTCTTCTCCCAGGTAACTAGCGATAGGATGAGAGGAAATGGCCGCAAGTTGCGTCAGGGGAGGTGGAGATTGATAATTAGGAAAAATTTCTTTACTGAAAGAGTGGTCAGGCATTGGAACAGGCTGCCCAGGGAGATGCTGGAGTCACTGTCTCTGGAGGTGTTCAAAAAAAGTGTAGATGTGGCACTTTGGGACATGTTTTAATAGGCATGGTGGTGTTGGGTTCACGGTTGGACTTGATCTTAAAGGTCTTTTCCAACCTTAATGATTCTATGATTCTGTGATCTCTCCCTGTGCCCAAGGAGACCCAACATTGGACAGGATGGATGCTGCAGCGAACAGCTGCCGCATTGGTGTTCTGCACCTGCAGTACGTGCTCCACCTCAGGAGGAGTTTTGGGCTCTTCCAGAACTAAAGGGTCCTAGGAGACATGATTCAGATATCTCTTCTACTTTTGCTTCCTCCATCTCTAGATATGCCCATCTTACAAGTGACAACTTCAGAAGTAAATGTGCAGATAATTACTGCTACAGCTATCGTTACAATTGCTGCTGTCCGGCTAATGCTCCAGCTAAGAAGTGCTTGAGCTTGCTGAAAGGATTTTTTTGTCTGTGCTGATTCAAAAATTTCTCTTTCAGAAATCGTTTGCTAATCTCCCCATGGCTTTCACTGATGAGCTTGACTGGCCGCAGTTCTCAGAGATCACTGGATTTCTGAACTCCACCATCGGGTAAGCCAGCAGGTGGGGTGGCCAAATCACAGCAAGTCTGAAAGGCCCTCAAAGAACAGCAAGAAAAAAAAAAAAACAAAACAGTGCTTGAAAGGGAAGGTAAAAAAGCTAGTCAGCTCTGCTTCTGCTCTTTCTAAAATCAAGATTGATGCTGGATCTGGGGATTTTTAAAAATCTTTTAAATATATGGACAATGTATCATACTCTAACCCAGTCTTACTGAAATTCATGGGAGGTTTTAGAGCTGGTCAGGTTGTAATTTAAAAGGAGAAAAAAACAAAAACAAAAAAACCCCCGAACTCACTTTTTTCAAAATACTGGGTCAGGGAGAAGGAGAGCATTGCTGAAACTAACAAATATCAGCCTTCATTTTTCTTAGGTTCTTTTTCTCTTTCTTTCTTCCTCCTTTTTCCTTTTTGCTGCTGAAACAGTGGAATAAATGGTAACCCCAGGGTTATTTGGTGATGTTCCCTTTTTTGGGACAATCTTTCTTCCCTTTTTTTTCCCCCACATTCAGAGGCAAGTAACAAAATAAGACTTTGGAAGCACCTGTGAGCTGTGTTACACTGGCTCATGGGGATGGCCAAGGACGCAGGGATAGATGGAAAAAAAGAAGTCTATGTCAGAAGGAAGGAAGGAAAGGAAGGAAATGAAGTTCCAGGAAGGAAAATGAAGTCCAAACAAAGAAAATGCCTTGAAATGTCTGCAGTTTTAAATGTGAAGTAGAAAAAAAAAAATCATAGTTTTGTTAATAATCTTTCTGGCCAGCATTAAGAGGCCCTTGACTGCTGCCAGAACTGAAGGATGCAATCATCAGCAGTGCCTGGTCAGGCTGGAGTTTCAGATAGTTTTTATTTTATATGTCTGAGATAGGTCATGAATACTGTGAAATGCCAAACTAGGCATGAGTCAAGCTTAAAGGGTCTCTCTACCAACAGAGTTAAAATGTTGGCAGAACATATTCTTTTCTAGGAAGAATATCTGTAGCACCACACACTTGTACTTTTTGCTTCCTTTCTTCTCCCTGTGCAAAAACCAGGCTCCCAGCCTCAGCTGCATTCACACAGTGTGTGCTTTAAGGAGGTATGCCACTTGACAAGCCAACAGAGAAGATCTATGCAGCCTCCTCTTTCAGAGTCAGCAGAAAAACCAGCCTTTAAAAATATATTGCAATGTCCAGCTACTCAATAGACAGTATTTAACTGGGCTGCAAAGAATCTGAAGATCACAAGTGGTAAAAGCTTAGTATGGACCCTGTAGTTATCAGTGATAGGCCTTGGTTCAGTGTTCAGTTTTTCAGTCTATTCCACATCTAGAACTATAAAAAAAAGAGGACTGTTTGGGACTTCAAGGCATTTGTAAGAGAAGTAGCACAATATCCCACACCACAATGACAAAGCATGGCGGAGACTGACAGGCAATGCGCAGTGGGAGGTTCCCGTTTACTCTGAGCCTGAAGAAATAGAGAGACAAACTGATGCGGTCCGTGCCCATCTTTCCCACCCCATGATGGGTGAACAGGGGCACGCTGTTTAACTAATACCCCCTGACCGAGAAGGTCTGTTTGCTTCTCCTCATCCACTCACCTGCTATGCTGAAACCCGACGAGCTTGGGTGTTTCTTGAGTAGCCCGTTGCATGGTGACTGGCTGATGTTATCATGCATTTCTGTGTAGACGGTTACTTTTATTGCTGGTTTCAAGACTTGTTGTTGTCTTCTGTTTCTCTGCATTCATCTATATTTGCTGTTCTTAAACCGTGGCATTTAAGTTATCTGACTCTATCAGTGTCTAAGTTCAAACACAAAATCAGCAGCCCCAGTAGAGATGGCCATGTACTTGTGGCTGGGCATGTGGTCTTTTCATCAGCTTCTCTGTTATCCTTTTCATTTGCATTTCCATTTCTCTCAATAGTGCAAAGTAAAGGAGAGAACTAGTCACAAACATACATAACCTGTTTTCAGATCAATCCGTCCAAGATTTATGGCATTGGCAAATGAATGCCCTGCCAATATTTCTTTGCTTTTATTTATTGTTCCATAACAACCAATTGAAAAGTCAACTAGTGAACAATCAGCAGGATTGTTTTGATAAATGATGTATACCAAAAAGGTTTTTAAATACCTTGTCTGGATAAAAGCATCCTGGATGGAACAATTCCAGAGAAACTGTCCATCAATTTATGGTTTCTGAGAGGCTTCTGTTTTAGGCCACCCTGTTCAAGATGAAAAAGATTTATGACTACAGAAAAAGAGAGATGGTGAAATAGAAGTATGTACATAACAGGGGCAAGAGTTGTTCAGAGACAAGAACTTACTTCATTTTTGATATCAGCTGTGTTTTCATCAGTATTGTATGAGTTCAGTGGCTTACATTTTCTCAATATGTTTCAGAGGCTGGACAGACTCTCTGTATCTACGTTTACGCAAGAGAAATCGCTGTAATCACAGAGACTTACAGAACATTTCCCAAAATGGTATGTTAAGGTTTTTTGCCTTTTTTTTTTAACCTTACTGGTCTAATACTTGATGCTGCATTAATGAACATCTTTCAGAAACAAAGAGGAACCTCTTCCTAATTGTGTGCATTTCTTGTGGAAAAATAGAGGACAGCACTTATTTAACTCCACGTCTTTTCTTCTGGCTCTGAGTAGGGAGGTGTGTGGCTTGATCACTTTTATCCATGTACTAAGAATTTCCACTGGGCTAAAAAACAGTCTACCCCACTGTAACTCCACAGGGGTTTTTTTTGGCCATGACCAAAAGGGGGGGATTTAGAGGGGTGTCGCTAGTAGTGATGGAGCTAAAAGGTCTGCCCTCCATCTCCTCCAGAGGCTGTGGGGTGGTCCCCACTTGCTTGCACGCCCCTGCTCTGCACTGCCATGGGGGGTGCCAGAAAGGCCCTACGCTGCACCCCCCCAGTAGCACAGGGGCTCACAGGGCTGCCACACCAGCAGGCAGAGCAGGGACAAAACAGCAACCAGTCTCGTAGCAGGGGTGTCCGTGACATCCTGTGACATCCTTTGGAGCTGGAGACCAGCGAATACCAGTCCTCTTGCAAAACTGGGGGGGTCAATGGTGCAGGCATCATAATGTGCTCTTAGAACAGATTTTAAAGGAGAAATCAAGGACACACAGGTAAACCAAAATTGGGACAAAACTTATCACTGTTAAGTTTTAATTGATTAATTACTTTTTTTGAGGGTGGGTTAACATCATCTGTCTATGAAAGAACATCCTATGTTGCCAAGAGTATATGCAGCAGACCTAATATACCTAGAATTAAGGAAAGTGTCTTGCGTGGTACCTCAGAGGAAATGTTTGTGTACAGTGAAGAAGAGGAAGATTAATACAAGAAATAAGAGGTCAGTAGAGAACCAGCTAAGCAGGGAAGACCAGTGGGTTGGAGAGAGGAGCTGTGTCCCTCATGCATCTCTCCTGAGCCTAACGCTGCTTAACATTTGGAGTGGTGACCTTAGAGCAAAGACCAAGGTGCATGCTTGATGGCATCTGTGAACAATGCAGAATTGAAAAGTATTAACCATCCTGAAGTGGGCCACATCCTCACACAGGAATAATTTAGATGGTCTTGGGAATAGCAATGAGATCAACTGCAGAAAATAAATTAATTATTAATTAATACTACCTCTGTAGTGTAAATTTAAAAAAAGGTGACTATCAAAGAGTGAAAACCTAGAATAGCCCTCAAAATGGAGAAGTGAGGGTAAGAAAGAAACCCTGAGTTATTTCAAGACAGAGTTTGCTTAAATTTGTCAAAGGGGTTGTATGAAGGGGTAAGTAATCTCACTTAGAAATTAAGATTTACGATGATAGCTTTTGTGTGTTGGATTAGGTGATGTTTCCAACAGCAGGTTTAAAATATATTTTATTGTTCTGTGATTATCACTTTGTGTTTGTATTGTATTTAACTAATTTTCATGCTTCGGAAAACTGTCTGAAGAAGCTTGGGAAAATTTATTCTCCTCAGGTAGATAATTTGGCTTTATGGGATGCTTTTCCTCTGTGACAGGTGAGGTATGTGGGCTGTGAGTGAGGGCCACTGCTACCCCTAGTGCTACTTAGAAACTTGCTTAATGCTTGGGATTTCCTGCCAGATTTATGATCAGAAAGGGTCTGTCCCAGCTCCCCAGCTCCAACAGCCATAGATCTTAGTGGGCAGAAGATGTTGCCCAGACAGCTCGCGTGGTGCGAGGATCACTTCCAGACTCAGGTGGTCATTTTCACCTAGTTTCACCACCTTCTGGTGCCAGCACTTACGCCACTGGCAATGCCTGTCATACGCCTTCCTCCTACCTGTGGCATGCATGGTGTTTCTGAGGCTTTGGGTCTTCTGCACAAGTGTTTTACAATGTGTTTGGTGTCACGGGTCGCGCGCTTCTGACTTTCTCATCTGTAAGTCGCAGGGCACTAAAGTTGGTGGCTTCCATTATTGCAGTCCCCCAGATGTGCTTTCTGGCAAGAAAATGAAAAAATGGCCTAACTAGATGGTGTCTATGGGTTTTCTCATTTATATCCAGTTCATCTCAGTACCTGACACCCTATTACCTTGTTCTGCTCTCTTTACGTTAATGGGGGTTGTACTTTCTGCTCTTCCTTTTTTTCCAATTCCCTCGCAGACTCTTTTAAAAAACTATCTCCCTGTGTGCATCGTTCCTTTTTCTCTCCACTTTGCGTATTTCCTTTACACTTACACTACAGACACCTGCAAGATATAAAAGGAGGTGAGCCTGTGTCAGGGCAAAAGACTCTGAAGAAAATTGAGAAGGGAGTTTAAAAAAGGAAGAAATTACATGTGGTAGAAAAATCCCGGGCAACTTCCTTCAGTATCTTCTCTTCATCATCGCACTGACACCATGTTGTAAGTGTTTGACTTTATTGCCTCATTTGGCATAACAGTTTCACTGAACAGGAGGATTGAAATGGCTGCTCTCAGTGTCAGTAAAGCGAAAAGATGGCCACCAACCTGACCTAGCCCCACCTGGGACAACTTAACACTCCTCTGAAAATGATGCTTGACGGCCCCACATATACGTAATGAGAGGATGACACGCTGGAGATGCGGTTTTGGTGGGGCAGGCGTGCAGCCCAGAGCCAGAGCCCAGGGATGGCAAACCAAGCCAGGGACCGAGAGCAATGCTCACCTCCAGCCCCCTACAAGAAGCACCAGTGCTGTGTCAGAGCTCGAGCACAGAGGGACTTTCCGCCATTGCCTTTCTTCGGACGTGCATCTTCACCCTGCAGGAAGGCTTCCCCAACCTTTATGCTAGTGGGATTTCTGCCTTCCTTTTCTTAAAATGTCCCATTATCCTCTTGGAGATGGTGGACCCTTTCCTTCTCTGCAGCTGGCTGGGGCAGGGTGCCTCAGCTCTCTGGGTATGTTACCCAGGGCCCATGAATACTTACTGCTTTCAGCTTTGGTTGTGCAACAAGCAGCTCACCATCCTAATCAATGTTCTCCATCGAAGTGGCTTGCTGAACAGTTTTCTGCAGATAATTTTTATTGTCTCATTGTTTTCGATATGGTTCTGGTGTCTTGCCTTCCAGCAGCTTCACACAGATTTGTAGGCCATGTGCTGTTCTGCGGTTTTGACTGGGTGAGTATGATCATTAGGTGTGAGGGCCAGGCATGAATGCTCAGGTGTGGAATCAGAAAGCTTTTCTAAATGTTCTCCAGCACTTGTGGAAGATCCCTTATTTTGATAGAAGCATCCTGACAGTAAAATCAGTTGCTAAAAATATTAAAAAAAAATAATTAAATAAATACAGGGAAAGTGAATACTCTCAGAATTTCTAAATAATTACAGAACAGTCTTGCTATTGTCATCCATGTTTTGCATGAGATACTTGGATAATGCGTGCTATTTTGAAACACAGGTATTGCATATTCCTTTGCCATTCGTAGTCTGATCTGTCTCTGGGATTCTTGCCTTTCACGAGAAAAATTAGGCCTTGTTGACACATGCTGTGGCTCACTGAGCCATCAAGCACCACGTATCTCACAGTGGCTTCAAAACCAATTAAGAAATAATAATCTTTACTGGTTTTCTTCAGCTATCTTGGAAATTCTAGTCCACCTGGAGCTCATATGGGGGAAATCAGAGACTTTTTACTTTGCATCGTTACATTCCCATTGCTTTTACAGCATAAGGGAGCAAAAGATTAGAAGGCAATAAGCCTTTCTTGGCCACACAGCACTTTTGGTGCTATCTGGACCCAGGTTCTTTCTCTGCATGGTAGTGCTGCTCCTTGTCAGCCACACAAGGTCTCGAGCAAGAACATCAATAAGTGCAGCTCAAGTATTCCAAGGTTTATGAAATTTGGGGCCGCTCAGAAGCAGAAGCAAACCCAACCCTGACTCCTCAACTAAAGCTAAAAGAAACACCCCAGCAGTCTGAAAACATTTGGAAAGAAACAGAGAGGGGGGAAGGAGTGATCCAGGAATAGCTGCCAGGACGCTCAGCAGTGTAATGGTAACTATTCTGCCTCATGCCTTTTTCTCTCTTGAATGTTTTCATCACAGACTGCATGCTGTATCACAAAAACTTCCTTGAAGACTCAATTTGCCTAACAAAACAGATCTCCAAAAAAAAAATCACCCCTTACATTTCTTGATTCTTTAACTTGATTTGTAAATGTGCTAATGCTTTCCACTGAGCTGCTTATAACTACCTGCACTCGTGGATGTAATACATATCCAAGAACAGCTTCTTACCTTTTTGTAAGTGCATCTTTAATTTCTAGAGATCCCAATAGTTCATTTGTGCTGGAACTGCAGCCCCAGTCCAGGGAGCCAAGTGGCAGAATGGCTTAACAGAGGGGTGCTGAACCCTTGCTGAAAGAAGGGCTACTAAACAGAAAAAAAAATCAACTGGCAGTATTTATGTTCCAAGCCATATTTTCTAAGCATTTTGTGGGGCTCTTCTTCTGCTGAAAAGAGCTTCTCAATGTAAGGGCTGGATTTTGAATGGACTAGTGACCCGCAGGAGAGAAGCATCAGACAGATATATTCTTTATTAGCTTGGAAGGACTGGATTATTTAAAACATAAAGGATTGCTTGATATATGCAGTTGGCATCACTGTGAGCGATGATAACAAAGGCACCACTATTAAAATGCAAAGCGTATTATTGCTACCTTAGGGGTTTATCTCTTAGATCTTTCCCGTATACCAATCCAGCAGGGATTTAATGATGTTCTGTCCACAAGTTTCCTCCCAAGAGCTGCGGGGAGGGCAGGATTTACTCCTCAAAGCAATCTTCAGAGGCACAATGCAGGAAAGAGAAGAGGTAGAGACCAGGAAAGAGCTGAGCAGAGAACAGAGGGAGTGTAATGCAAAAGGAAAAAGAGCGAGAAAAGAGGAGAGAGAGTGAAAATACTGCAAAACAAAAGCAGGTGCAACCTGTAGGGCCTGCACCTCTGGAGTATGTGTTTCTGTATGTTGCTGTGAGGCGAGCTTCTTGTTATCATGGTCCTAGTCTAATCTTGAACAAAGCATCAAAACTTTTTTGACTACTCATTTACTATCACTCTTGCACTGCAGGTGATGGAGTTGGAGTTGCACACTGTGGATAGTTAGGATGCGTACGTGCAGCCTTTAAAGACCTGCCAGAAAGTTTTACGCATAAAAGCTTTCCTATTTGTGAATGCTTTTCTCATTTAAGACATAAATGAAAGATTATAGACGTTCATAGATGCTTACATGTAGCTAGCTCTTTTCCTAGACGAGGAAAGATTCGCATCCAACCATTTGGGTGAATTGCCATTGAAATGCAGAGCTTCTTGGGAGGGGTGCAGCTGGCCTAATACTATTTTTTGTAAGTCTACCACTCGTGGGGAGAGCAATGCAGAGAGCCAAACGTCGGTGTCTAGTGCTATTTAAGATGCTTTACAGTATCTTTCCCACCTCCAGCTGCCTCTCCAGAAGTGCACAATCTCTCAGGCATCCTGTGTTGTATCTGCCAGCCCTGCTGCAGGTGTCTTGGATAGTCAGGGATGTCAAAAATGGCACTTGGTGCCTATGTTTAGGACCTGAATCAGTCCCAACGTGGTATAGCTGTGAGACGCTTACTCTCTCAGAAGAGTGAGAACAGTTCTCTTTGCAATTTATAGGGAAAGTTAAAAGTAGATCGACTGTTGACAAGTCAGGTTGGCTGGTTTACAAGAGACTACTATGTTCAACAGATGGGAAGAAGCTGCCAGATCTGGATTAAAAACCAGATCCAAACAACCCAGCCCTTAAAAGTATTTGATTTTCTACAGTCTGAAGCGTGGGACTCAGGTAAGAGGCAGCAGGTCCTGGATATAGCTTTGCTTCCTAATGTCAGCACCCAAAAAGGTTACAAGAGATTACTTGTTCCATTTTTAAGTTTAATGCTTCTACATTCTTGGAAATATGCAGTGAAGTTGGGTTTTGCACTTCCTTTTGTTTGTCACTATAACAATGTACTATTTCTCTTATTCCCACAACATGCGATCAGGTGGGTCTTCAGGAAACCTCCTCTATTTAATAAAAAGGTGAGTGCTTAATGGGATTTGAGTGATGTTTGCGGGTGCAGAAATGTTGCTGGAGTCCTACTTCTCTGAAAGAAACAAGCAAAGCACTGTAAAGAATGTATTACCCACAAGTGTCCTAAAAAGCACAGCTTCCCTTGACCACTGTGCTCTGAAGTGCTGGCTGTTTCTTCTCTGATATAGACATTCATCAGCAGGAGAAAAACTGTTTTAAAGTGTGGGTGTCACCACCTCCAGGGCCTTGATCTTGGCCCAGTTAAGCCAACAGAGCATTTCCAGCCATCTTGGCAAAGAGATTAAGCCTTTCCCTAAATCTGTGCTTTGTGTCCCCATAACTGCTTTACTCCTGATTTGTAGCAGTATAGACACGGGCAGGTCCACTGTGTTATCTCCATATGGACATGATTGAGTAGCTACTTGATAGTGACAAGCAGCAACTCTCCTTTTCAAATGAATTTGGGTGAGCTGTAGGGCAGTTGGGTTTGATTTAGTTTGCTTGATGCTTATACAGTTTACATCCTAAGAAATCTATCTTTCTCTCCTCCAGAAAAAGTAGTAATGAATCCTTGCCCTCTAGCACTGAACTTCAAACCACATCCTGATTTGATCTTGAGCCCAATCTTACTCATAAACTTGGTTGTCAGCTAAACAGTCGTCTTCTCCCATCTCTGATTAAAAACGTCCCATTTTGATTTATGTCTTTGCTGTGAAATGAAACTACTTGATTTGGCTTCTGAATAATACAAAGAAGATAGAAAGCAAGCAGGGAAAACAATGAAAAGGACAAGTCCACAAGAAGCAAAAGGGAGAAGTAAAAAAAACCCCTGTATTTAAGAAACTTTACTAAAATTTAAAACTACAGGGAAAAAAATCCCAAAAACCTCTCTCCCAAGCATAGAAGCATAGTCATCTAAGCATTGGCCGAATCTAAACGAGCTACTTCCAAATGTGATCTCACACAAGCATGGTGTGTGATTCAGACACCGAGAGCGTATTTCACCATTAATATAGCTGTGTGTTTATCTTTTAGCTTGGCCAGAAACCAGCTGTTAGACAATCCAGCCATAGTCGTCTACGCTACGATTGGGAATGATGTCTGCAATGGGTAAGGTGTAAAGCGAATTATCATTTACAGTATCATAAATTTGGCTTTTTTAGAGTGCTGCTGGCTGCTTGGACATTTATATCTCATTGCTTTGTGCTTCCCTGTGATGGCATTTTTCTTTGCTATTGATCTGTACTTCATTCTTATTTTTCTCCTGAATATACTCCTTGTTGCCTTACCTGTATTTGTCATAGCCACCTACCAGTCCTCATTCGGAGCCTGTCTTTCTTTCTTTTGCAAGCTGGTGATAAAGTGACCAATGGCACATCTGAAGTGGAATATTTCTAACTTAGCAGATGAAATGAAGTATAACAACAACAGGAGGGGGGAAAAAAAGCATTTAAAAGCATGTCTATCCATCTTACCCAGTGTGTCTCCTCCTGTCAGGACGGAGAGCGTGACTGGTTTACCTTTTCTGAAGAATGACAATGTAGTCCCCTGTCGAGGTCTATTTTTGCCCTGCCTCTGCTGCACGTTGCCTGCAGACTTTGCTGTGCTCTCCTGACGAGGTGTTTTGTCTTGCTGGCTTTACTCACGTCATAAACTCAGCAGGAGAACGAACTGAAGCTTTCAAAACTAATAGTTCTGGCATTACCCATTAGCAATGCTCTCAGGGATGCTGAGAGGTCACTGGTCGGATGCTTCCCTTCCGCCCGGTAGTGGGAAGGCAGAAAACACCTTGCAACCAGGCCAATGTACAGCACGTCCGTGCCACAGTTTTGGTTTTGCAGGTGGTCCAAGTGCTGTCACTAGTGTAGCATTGTTTTCACCGTGACGAATCTTCAGCTTTTCTTTTAAGCGGAAGAAATAAATCTGACTTATGTGGAGACTTTCAAAACACTCACTTTAATGGATGACGCACAATCAGCTAAGTCCCCTTCCGAAGCTTTTGAAAAGTCTCACCTGCAGGTTGTAGAATGAAGATGGAGCTATTATGCAGGCTGTCAGACCTTGCCATTAAAATATCCTGCTTTTGGTATGCTAAAACTTTGCTTAACAGCAAGTCCTTGGGTTGAAACTTCCCTCGTTGGGTTTTGTGCTCCAGACAGGGTGGCCAAAGGCCAGGCAGGGCTTTCCCTTGGAGCCCTCAGCCGGGGCAGATGTGGGACCAAAGGAGCCACCTTTTAGCTCCTTCCCTGGCACCACCATCTCTCTGGCCACGTGCGGGCAGCACGCAGAGATAACCTGCCATGAAACCTTGACCCTTGGCATCTCCCGCTGGTGCTTGTGCTCGCCCTGCACCCCTGCCCCGAACTGCCAAATCTGCCCTCAGCACCACCCTCCTACGCGAGAAGGATGCACAAAGCCTCAAAGGCAATGCCACCACCCTTCGGCTGAGTGGGAAAAGCAGTCCCAGACCTCCTGCTACTTGCTGACAAGATTGTCCTGGGCATCTGTTTGTTGAGAAGCTTAGGGAGGTATTATTATAACCACCCCCAGGATGCTGAGGGCACCCCTCAACATAGCACCTTCACTGAAGTCCATGGCTCCTGCCGCAAAGACTGTTGAGGTGTCTTCTCCCAGGCTTGGTCCAAGCTCTGCTATGTACATATTTAAATTCTGATGCTTCACTGGCTTTGCTAAAAGCATCTCTTTCTCCTTGGTTTTATTCCTCATTCTGCAGGTTATTCCTTTCACTTCCCCTGTCCCTAGCACTGGTTTGTATTCTTGCCTGAAGTAAAAAGAAATTTTCCACAAGTTTAAACCATTTTGGCCTTGCCTCATCCATTTGTTTGTTGGAAAACAGTATTTATCACTCGAAACTCTGCAGTCTTTTTATCCCAGTGCCCATTACTTGGCAGAGACACTTTTGTCTACTCAGATTCTCTTTGCTGTCTGTTTTCTTCCAAAACATTTGCAGCATCAAAAGAGCCTATCAAGCTGCAGTGATCCCCCGACTCCAGCAAGGAAAGATGCTGCTGCTTCTGTAGCAGCACGCTGTTTTCATCGAGTGGGATGTACAGTGGAGAGAGATTTTTTTCAGTGTCTGGTCACTGTGTGTAGCTGTCCTGGCTCTGATGTACCCACAGAGGTTATGGAGGATGCGGAGCATCCGATGGGCTAGACTTTAAACCGAGGGCTTGAAAAATAAAAACCTCTTCAAGGACAGCTTTAAACTGCAGTAACAGAGCCTTTCTGGCCTTATCCTGTATTTTATCTTCAAAAGAGAGCAGTGTGCTGAGCACACTGGAGACACAGCTCTTGGACAAAGCCTTGTTAAAATGCCAGCGTTTCATCCCATGCGAAGAGTGGGGCAATGAGTAATATGGATGTTTGTAAAGGAGAAAGATAATGAAATTGGCAGCCTGCGTTACACGCTCCCAGTTGTCTCCGCGCAGTGGTGTCCAAACAGGGGAGGTTAGAAAAATAAAGACAGATGGCAGTGGTATCTCTCAGCCCACTGAGGTGTAAATGTGGGACACAATGTGGGACACAGAGACCTGGAGCAAAAACAATTCAGACAAGAAAATAATGAGCACCAGAGGTCTCAAATGCTGTACAATTATTGCACGCGTTAGTTGCGTTTGGGGTAAGGCACCATTTCTCCAGCCCCTCTTTCCCAGCTTTGCAGCTGGAGCATCTGCAAAAAACGGAAGGGTGACAGCAGCAAAGTGGGGTGAGCGGGCAGCCAACAAGAAGGGAACTCGTACAAAGCGGCATCGGCACAAGCGTAAAGCTCCCTTATCATAAGGCTACCGTCACCGAAGTGCTGCTGCACCCCTCCGGCCCTAAAAATAGTATTAAAAAAAAAATAGCCAGATCCAGTGCAGCAAGAATCCCAACATGAACCTCCGCTTGCTATTCTCTGGCATAACGAACCATGGCCAACATCAGCTGCCAGAGGTCCCAGGTGGGGGCGGGGGCTGCCGCTGGCTGCTGCCTCCCAGGGGGCCCATATGAGGGTACCAGAACGGCCCCCGGCGCTCACCCAGGCACCTTGAAGTCCTTAAGGCAGAGCCCAAAACGAACGTGCCTACAAGATGGCTTTCTTCTCGGTCGGTTTTAATTTCATAGCCCAGCACGGAAAGGAAATGTGAAGAAATGCACTGAAATATCTGCATGATTTCAGTGGAGGATGACAAGAGAAAGTGGAGTTATGAATGTCACTTCAATTTTGGCTCACCCTGATGTGTTTACTTGCGGTAAAGGCCTTACATCAGAGCAGTATTTTGAAATCAAGTGTCGAAACACCTGTAGGAGAAATGAAGTAATTTAAGGGCAAAATCACAGTCTTATCTCAAAAGTACCTTGCTTGGGTGTCCGTAACAAGGATAAGCCTGATCCCGCAGTAGCTCACTCAGCGCTGCAGGCAATAAGTTTGCCCTTTTCTTGCCCCTGGGAAGCCATGAAAGAGATTAAAGGACTTTCCTGGGGAAAGGATCTGGGTAGAGCCTCCTGGCTGCTAAGCCGATTGCTTCCCTACAAGCCCACGAGGAGAAAATGTGGGAACCGCTAGAACAGTGAGGATGGACATTAGTGCAACCTTACGCACTACTTGGAAGGACACCTCTTGTCCTTCCTCCTGAGCAATGAGATCAGGTCCTCAGCAGGTGCTGAGGGTTTCTCTTTGAAAGCCTTGGTCCAGCTGAGCTGGACCAGCAAGGCAGTACCAAGACTGTCACAGGAGCCTACTTCCCAAGGTGCATGGTCCATGCCATGCACAGACACACATGTTGATGTCCTCCAAATCATGGCTATGGTGCCCTTGCTGCTGTTTCTGGGGGACTCTTTAAGAGCTCGTGTTGCAAATGTATGTCTTTATTGTCTTTCCCAATTCAAAAAAGACATCTTATGGATTTACATGCTCTGCTTCCTGTGCCCCAAGGGATGCCAGGCCACCCTGGAGATGCCTGGGGTTTGTGGAAGCGCACAATGGTGTTCTTGTTTCCATCCCACTGACTCTGCTCTGAGAGAGGGCAACGAGATGTCTCTGGATAAGGGGAGGCTTTTCCCCAGAGCTGGCCCTGCTCTGCCTCCCAGGCATTGCCAGAGCGGGGCCCCACGGAGCTGGGGTCTCCCTTGTGATGGAGATCCATGGATCCTCTCTTGCCAGGGTGAGATGAGCTCCTCGGGGCAGCATTCACCCACTTGCTCATAGTCCCTGTTACAGACATGTGCACCATGAGAGCGTGGCGATAGCTCTCGGGGTAAGGGGGGAGAGCAGGTGAACAATTTTTCTGTAATGAAGTGGATGTTTTAATAACGTGACTAGAGCAGTGTCTCTAGGCAGCCTGGGGTGCTTTTGCTTGTTTGTTTTTCTTACATAAGTTGAAATTTATTTCAACTTTAGGATTTTATTTCCACGCACTCCCTGCGGCATTTACAGCTAAATGCAAGAGGGGAGGGATAAACCTGAGCCTGGGAGGTTCAGTGAGCCACAGAAGGTGGGCATTCAGTCCCTGTGGGACACTGACGCAGCTCCCGTACCCTAATGAACATTTCTGAGGACCATTTTATTTTAAATACCTCTCCCCTCTAGCGTCATCCCCGTCGCTTCAGCCTCCCACGCTTGTCCAGACCCCTTGCTACTCTCCTGTCCTCCTGCCAAGCTGTAGTAAGAAGTGTGCGACACCGAAGAGACAAAGTTACCTTAGATATTTCTACCTAGCATAATCAAAGAGTGTGTTGAGTGTAAGCTACACACAGCAACCCGTGGGAGAAGAAGCCCTCCCTTCACCCGTGTGTAGGGCATCCTGCACCCTGAAGCCACGTGTGTGGAGCAGCCCCATTTCCCTCTGTTCAGAGCTGAACCGTAGTGGCTCTTAACCAGCTGCAGCAGCACCCCGCATCCCCTCAGGGCAATGGATCCCTTCAGTGCTGGAACTCGAGGCAGGCGTTAGATCAGTCGAATGTCAGGCGCAGACTGGAGTTTGAGAAGTACACCAAGGGCAGTGTCTTTGCAGTCACCAAAAGCAGAGCGGACTTTGAAGGACTACAGCTAGGCAAGTCCCTGGGTTTATGTCAAGTGGCTTAAGATGCTCTGCTGCTTCTAAGCAGTTGCTGAGCAGTGTTTGCACAGTGCTGGGGCCTTCTCTGTTTCTCATTCTGCCCCCTCCCCGTGACTAGATTGGGAGTGCACAGGGGGTTGGGAGGGGACACAGCTGGGCAGATGACCCAAACTGACCAAACGGATAGTCCGTGCCACGTAACATCATGCTTAGCAATCGAAAGGGAGAAGAGGGGATTTTAGGGGGGGATTAGCCATCTTTTGCTCAGTAACTGGCTGGGCATCAGGTCTGCCCGTGGGAGGTGGTGAGTGACTGCCTTTGCATCACTTCTTTGGCTCGCTTTCTCTCCTCTTCTACTTCTCTTACACTTATTGAACAACTACTTTTTTTTTTTTTTAACTTGGCCCCTAAGTTTTCTTGCTTTTACTCTTCCTTTCCTCTCCCCTGTCTCCTGGGGTGGGGGGTCAGGGAGCAAACAAGAGGCTGTGTGATGCTTAGCTGCCCACTGGGGTTAACCCACAACAGGAGGCCGCTCTGTAAAAAAGGGATGCAGCTGTTTGTTTTTAGCGGGGAGGAGGGTTACACCAAGGGAGGTTTCTATATCACTTCTGATTTTGGCAATAACAATGAGAGAGTAAAACATATAATATCATTTTTATAAGGTTTTCTTTAGCTAACTTAGTTTGGAAGAACAACAAAAACCAAAATTCGGCTGTTTCAGGTGCCTTTTTGGGGGCACAGTATTACCTAACACAAAGTCTTATTGGCACCCTCTTCTTCTGCAGGTACCGTGACACACTGGCTCACATGACTACACCCAAAGAAATGTTCTCCAATGTAGTGCAAGCTCTGCAATACCTGGACGCCCGTCTTCCAAACGGCAGCCACGTGATCTTAACAGGCTTGGTAGATGGCCGCTTTCTCTGGGATAACCTGCACGACAGATACCATCCTCTAGGTAAATATGAGATATTGTGGGGTCCTCCTGGTTGTCTGCCTGCTCGTGTTGCCTTCTCTCCCTGAATAATTTATGAATCTATTGACAATTGCAAGCAAACCTGACAGAGTGGAAGAGATCTGAGAAATACGAGACAGATGTTGACTGGGCACCAGAAGTAGGAGAGTTGGCTTACCGTCCCCAGTGCAGGACAGGGCAGCTAGAGGTCAGACCCCTAACTTGCCTGGTTCCCCCACAGGCCAGACCCTCTCAGTGCCAAACCATGCTCAATACATGCTGTGGATGTGGAAACCAGCTGTTCTGCCTCAGCCTTGGCCCAAAATTGTGGCCGGCCCACCTGCACTTCATCCTGGTTGTTCTTACAGGTGGAGCTGGACGTTTGGTGAACACCTCCACTCACTGACTGGTGGATGTCATGGTAAAACTGGATGTGAGCCAAGACATTAGATATTAGAGAACCAAATTTTCCACAAGCACTGGGTGCCTGCCACCTCCTACCCTACCTGATGGTTGAAACCTCACACCATGTGCAGGTGTGTTTTGGGGCATTCCCTCAGAGCGCAGTTGCCATAAGGTGCTTTGGGGCAGTGTTTTCAGAGGTTTAGAGGCTGCCTTTGGGAATCTGTCATCGCAGAGCATGCATGAAACCATGCGTCTTACCATCAGCAGACCACTTGCTCCTTGGCTTTATCTTGTGCCAAGCAGCAAGGGGGGACGGCATCACAGGGGGCTGCATTCACACGCAAGGACGTGTGATGTCCGTGGTTAGTCCGATGGCTGTGCCTCTGGGATCAGCATGGAAACATTTCCCTGGGGATGTGGGAGGTTGTGGGGTGGGGAAGCTTGGAAGCTGGTTGCAGAACTCCTTGTCTACAAATTCATACCACTCCACAGCAGGTAAAGAAGGTGAAATATTTTATGCAGGTAGCAAAGAAATAGAAAACAGCTACAGTAAGCCTGCTGTTCTCCAGCCAAGTGTGTGTACAAGGAATCATAATGGTCATTCTGATGTCAAATTTTAGACCAAAAGCATGTTCTATTTATTTGGGTAAAGGAAGGTTTCTTGCATCTGAACAAGTGGAAAGTTGCTGTCATCTTAGTTCTCATCCATAAAGAGAGAGAGAAGCTAAATCACATCATTAAAATGGGCAATTACGTCTTCAGATGATTTTGGCAACCACTGGGTACTAGAGCTTTCAGCAGGCTCTGTGCCGGCGTTTCCCCAAGGTTCCCCAATCACTGCCAGTGGCCCCGCAGCTTCTGCGTTATCTGTGGTGGGTTATTTTGCCCCTCAAAAGTACTTGCCTCTCCCCAGGAAGTCTGAGGTCTCCACTTCTATTCCTGATACCTTGCTATGTGATTTTCTCTAACAAGCACTATGCTACTACTAAGTGAAAGCAGAAAAAAGAAAAATAAGACAAAAATCTTGTCCTTTTCAGGGCAGGGGGAGCCTGTAATAGTTATTTTTCAGTCACATAAATACATTTCTTCCCTTAAGTGCATGTTTGTCACAGGGACTGTTCCTCTACTGGATATCTAATTATCGGAGACAACACGTAGCATTTCTTGGCACAAGCCAAATCAGGAGTGATTAGCTATAGAACGAGTTGAAAATTTTTCAGGGGGGGCTGACTTGCCTTGGAGGGACCCAATTAATCCTAAACAACACGTTTTGTAGTACGAGATCACTTCTGGCAGATTCTCCGAGGGGTTGCGGGAAGTTTTCCCCACTTGGCTGCCAGTCAGGCATGACCAGACGTCGGTCTGGCTTTCTGCCGAATCTCTGGTCCCCCTGACAGCCCACTCCAGAGCCCGATGCTTCCAGGCTACATAGGCCTGGGACATCCCCAATATCTGGGAGTGACACCAGATCTTGGAGCTCCCCATCTCTTGCTCCTCGGGCAGCTGATACTGCTGCTGGGTGATGGGCAGCCGTGAGATAGGCAGGAATTGCATCAGGGAGCTGCTGCAGGGCAACCCGAGGAGCCCGTTTCGCTTGGGAGAAGTTGTACTTTGCAGTTGTGAAAACAACAAAAATTTCATATTTCAGCGCTGTAAAAACAGAAAAGCCTGAGGGGATGATCAGTGTGCTACAAACCCAGAGAACTGAGTGGCCATTCAATTTCCGCCTTGGCTGTAGCTACCAAAGCAGCAAAAACGTTGAGAAAATGGGTTATTTTCTCAGCAAGCCAAGCTATTGCATAGCACGGTGGATTTACCGGGGTGCCTCACCCCACCAAGGGGTCTAATGCGTGGGAACACGCAGACCTGGAGAATGAAGTTAGGTTTGGCCATCAAGCACGTCACGTTTCCCTCTCTGTGCCTTGCAGGGCAGCTGAACAGAGACATCACGTACAGTCAACTCTACTCGTTCCTCGACTGCCTGGAGGTAAGGTCTGCGGCTGTGGCTCGCGAGCCCCCCTCTCCTCTCGGCCCGCTGCTAAAGCCCGGCTCCCCGTGTCCGCCCAGGTGAGCCCCTGCAGCGGCTGGCTGACCCCCAACGAGACCCTCAGGAGCCTGACCTCGGAGGTGAGTCTCCACACGGCTGCAGCGGGACTGACCCCGTGCACAAATGCTCGTCCCGTTTGGCCCTGTGTCTGGGGAAGTAAGCCCAATACCTCAACGGCAAGGCGTCAGCACACTTTTTCCTTCCAAAAGCGGGGAGAAGATGGGGAAACATCCGTACCCATCCTTTCAAACGCCTCTCCAGGTTCTGGAACGCAGCATGGTGGAGTTACAGGATTCATAAATGTATTCCCTTTCCAACCTGCCCTAATTTTTTCTCAAGGGATGCTGTCTCCCTGGGACAAAACTCTTCAGGTTCACATTCTTTGAGGAGAACGCGTATCTGATAAAAAAGAAAAGGCTTGGGAATCGAGTAGCTGTGAGTATGGAAAGCCAGCTACACAGATTTTGCTGGTGGCTGGGGCAGGCACCGAAAGCGGCAGCCTGCCCCTGTCTTCATCTGGGATTTGTGCTAATCTTCCGCAGACACATTTCCGTGGACATAATCACCAGATGGCGTGACCAGGGAGCATCCAGGCTCGGTGCAGGAATGGGAACAGACAGAACGGAGATGTGTTTAAACTCACCCTAAAAATCTGGCTGCAGCAGTGAATGCTACAGAATATCAGCCCTAACTCCCTCACAGCACAAGCTGATTTTTAATCCCAGCACCCCCCAGCAGCCGTGTAAAAGAGCCAGTAACCAAATATCATCAAAGGTGTCATCTCTGTGTATAGTTGTATTAATGTTTGCATTCACTAAACAAAAAAATATGGCCTTAATTTCACCAGGGCTTACATATACGTTTTGGTTTATGTCCTGTCCCTCTTGGCTTCAGAGAAAGCAGTTAAGCACATTCCTAAATCTTTGCAGGACTGCAGCTTATAGATTTGCACTAAGAATACAGAACATACGGTACACGTAACTCCTGTCCAAGAACAATTCATATGTCTGCAGGGTACGAATTAATCTTCTTTCTGAGCCCCTGTCTGAAACTAATTGTCTATGTTATTATCCAAACTGCAATATTTAAATATTTAGGAGCTCCTGATCTCTCTTACGGCTGTAGAAATCACCCTGGATATATCAGTTAGGTAGGCGCTCAACGGAGTTAATTTACTCTGCTGAAAGTAAGAGCAGAATTTGGTCTGGATAGATAAGCGTTAGCACCCACCATACAGTAGCAGGAAGGATAATGGGAAAGGACAACATTTCTCCTGTACGAAAAGTTTCAATTTTCTTTAAGAGGAGTGCAAATGACTGGGGTGCCACTCATCAAGAGGCCTCCGAAACTGAGAAATTCAGAATATTTATATAGGCATAGAGACACTACTAAAAGAAGCCTCCAGTAAAATAATCGTTTGGTGAATTAAACATTACATCAGCAGAGGCCTCAGCGCAATGATGTATTGCATGGGGAGCCCAAAGTCTGGTGGTGCTCGTGCAAATCCATGTTATGATGAAGAACCCCATTTCAGCTCCTTTCCCTCCAGCTAAAAGGGCAACGTTGCTTTCAAACCCCTGACCACGCATCGGCGACAAAAGCAAAGCAGTGTAAGTAGCAACAAATTGTCATTTAATCGCTTGATTTTTGCAGAGAGCTTCACAACTTTCTAATGTCCTGAAAGAAATAGCGAGATCTGAGAAATTTGCCAACTTTGATATTTTCTACATGGATTTCCCACTGAGACAAAGTAAGTTGCTTTTTTCCTGTCTTTCTCACGAAGCATTTGGTGAAGTGCTGCTAACGCACTGCTTGTATTTTAGCGCTGTACTGGGAGAAGGGCAGCATAGCCAGCCAGCCTAGGTCACCTTGCTGGCAGGGCTGGGGCTAAGGGGGACCCTCAGTGCTATCTCCCAAGCTTCCCTGGTTGGGGTAACTGTGGACCTCTGCCGAGATGAGACCCCAGCACCAGCCTGGGGGCCACAACCTCCCTGCTGCTCCCAGCTGCTGGCGCAGCACACTGGCCATTTGTACTTGGGTGGCAGGGGATGTTGGTGATGAGGTGACAGGGATTCAGCAGAGGAGCCCCTGCTAAAAACGCCTCCTGCTTGTCTAAACAGAAGAAAAAGAAATCCCGAACCTATCTCAGTCCATAAGATTTGGTTTTATTTTTGATCATTGCTTTGATCATAGCGGGTCATCTAGGCTGGAGATGTATCTGCAATTGTGTAGGTGATCTTCATGAACTGTAGTCTACTGCGTCACTGACTGGGCTTCACATTGCCTCCTCTGGGATGAGCAGTGCCTCAGGAAGGAGAACTTTTCTCAGCCAGTTTTCCTGCCTGAATAACACGGCCACCCTCTCTTAACTCACCGTTTTCAAAAGTGGAAGCGCCTCTCCCAGGAAGAACTGCCTTCTTTCATATGCTTCCTTCAGTACCTACAGACTATTCTAACTTTTGACTTCAAGAGTTTACAAAACTCATCCTTCTGTGATCTTAAGTGACATTAGGTAAGAGCATTACCTAAATCAGTGCCTTCTGCAACTGACACTTAAAAAAAAAAAAAAAGAAAGAACCAGAAACTTGTCCTCGTTACCACGAGCATGAGTGGACAGTGTCCTTGTGGGGCTGGGGACAGATCCCTCTCAGGTCCACTTCCCTCACAATATGTGCTTGGGTCCAGCTTGAGGCATCAGCCCAGCTCCATTGCAAGGAGAAACACACTCGTGTTTTTTTTTTAAAAAAAAAAGGATGAGCAGATGAGCATGGGGTGAAGGCTTGAGGTGGGCAACATATTCAAGTAGTTAGATAGTGACGGAAAAGCAGGGAAACAGCTTTTTCCCCTGTGTCGAGCTGGAACCTCCCATGTTTCAAGTTATGCCAATTGTCTCTGCCGTTCCCACTGTGCACTGCTGTGAAGAGATTGGCCCCGTCCTCACCACCTTCCTGTGGCTCTTCTCCAGGGTGGACCATCCCCGTCCCTCAGCCTCCATTCACGGGGCAGGAGCTCCAGCCCTGGCCACCTGGGGCCTCTCCCCAGTAGCATGGATTGTTACATTCCAAAAATAGTGTATAATAATTGGGAAAAGACCCTCATTTGCATTTCCTTGTTTTTATATTCACATAGAGAGCCAGGTCCACATTGGTCCTCTTTGAAAAATTTTGCCTGGGGACTATATTTTAAATCCCAGAATGCAAACAGTTAAACCAGAGCCATGAAGGGACTGAAGGACCCTGGCAGTACTTCAAAGTGTACATCTCTAACACCTCTCCCCGTCAGTGCCTGGCTGTCCTTGGAATCACGAAGCTGCCGAGGCACCTAAGATTATTGCAAAAATCTCATTTGCAGCCAAATCCTATCAAAATTCACAAACTTATTTTATCCTACATGACCCAGTTCAGGAAGCTGGTGCTGGGTCTCATGCAGACCATACGGAGCAGTTGAAGAAGAGAGGATCGGAGACGGAGTCTTTCTGTCCAAAAGACAGTACTTTATCTGAGAAGTGGGCTGCACTGCCAAGTTCAATGTGGTAGCACAGTTTCAGGATGTCCAAGTCTCTTTGCAGCTTTTGCCTCAGCTACTTAATATTTAACAAGTCATTAGGATTTGCAACAAACTACCTGCTGGGTAGGCAAATTACTTTAATAAGTTAAATGACTAACTTTAGGTAATTTATTTGCTTTCACGAAAAGAAACATCTTAATATAATTTGCTGTTCTTGATTACATCGTGTTAAATAAATGAGGTAAACAAAATCACACATGCACATGCAAACATCAGCTCTGAAAGACACTTTGCAAAGTTTTGCACAGCCCTGGAGCCAGCGATTTGAGCTTCCCGTCAGGAAGGCTGTCAGTTTGTGAGTGTGCTCAAAAGCCAGCTAAGGCTGCTGACCTACTTTTCTGGTCTCTTTCTGAAGCAAGCGCAAATCCTCCCCTACACTCTCCAGACATCAAATATTTAGCGGTGGTTGCACACTGTAATAGGTACATTGATTTCAGGCTGGCCTGGGAATATATATACACAGCAGCTCCCAGCATTCTTGGAGTAAAACGTGAATGTACTAGCATTTATTCTAGATTCAGATGGGCATTCAAGCTCAGGTGTTGCCTTTGGCTGAAGAACTTACTGGTTCCTCTACGAAGTAGTGCAGTAAATAGGGGCACAGTGGCTGCTTTTTTTGGCTTTTCCATTATGTGGGTGGGAGCAAGCTCTAGTCTAGTTTAGCCAGGCCAACAGGCACTCTGAAGACAAACTCTGGGGATATTCTGTGAGTATTTGTTCAACTGCTCTAGGATTTTTGGAGGTCAAGTACAATGGTCTAAATTCACCCATCTTGATATAAACCATACTTATCTTACTTACTCTTCTGCTGTTTCTGGCACTCGAACAATAGCCTCTCTACAGAGTAAAACACAATACACTGCCTGATACTCAGTGCATAACATCATCTATAAGGGGTTAGGCAAGCTCACTCTGTGCATCTGTAGGTGCACTCCGTGGTGTAATCTGAGGTGCATATGTGTTGTGCCCGATATATTGCAAATTTGAAACCAAGGTCCAAGCCCTGTGTCTTGAAACAGGTTACTTTGGGTGTTGACTAAAGCATCTCAAGTGGGTTTCTGTGGTTAAAGCAGAAATATCGCCCTTCTGTGAATTGAAAGTTAGTATGGGAGCCCCAGGCATCACTTTTTGGCACAATAGCCACCGTCCAACAAACAGCGATGAGTCTAGGTCAAAACTGTGGTGCCTGAATGGAGAACATTTTCCTCCTGACAGGCTGCCTGCATAATGCTATTAAGAATTCCTAATCTGTCATTATAAAAGAAATTATTGAATTTACAGTCTGTTAATGCCATATCCACTAGTCCCATGTTTGATCACTCCACAGTGCTTTTGAAGAGAGAAAGCTTTTTACTTCTCTAATGGCTCTGGGGCTTACAGAACAGCGTCATTTGCATTGAATGTCATGCTTATGTAATTCAAAAGGTTATTTTGTTGGAGTTGAAAAACACTGCTCAGAAGAGAAGTAACTGAAAATGACAGTCCATTCCCGCAGACATCAGCCCATGTGAATATTTTGTTACCATCCCTTTCTCTAAAAAGCACTGTTTTCTTTATCTCTTTTATTTTTTTGCACTGCTGAAGATGCAGCTAAAATGGGAAATGAAAAAGTATTAAATCAGTATTAAATAATTCACAGCTTTACTTGCTACTGCATCCATCTTACTTGGGAAAGAAAGTGAATTGTTTTACGATCATTTCTGTTCAAAGCGCTTCCTTACATAAAATTTGCAGGGGAAAAAAAATTAACAATAAAGGCTTAAATACTGCCCCAGGGAGAGGGGACTGTACACAACATTGGCTCTGACAACTTTATATGAATTATCATAATCTTCATGTAGAGCCATCATGTGCTTAAAAACACCGGCGTCGCTTTGAGGAAGATTGTTCGCAGCGGCCGAGGAGTGGCACAAGATGGGAGGTGAGCCCTGGCAGCTGATCGAACCGGTCGATGGCTTCCACCCCAGCCAGCAAAAAACCCAGCCCCGGGAGATGGGCGGGAGCAGGCAGGATGCCGGTGCCTGCTGCTGCCCGAGGCACCCGGTCGGACCACTGCAGGGATGCGAGTCTGGGGGATTTCTCTTTGAAAAGAGGAGGTGGCTTTAGCCCCAGAGCAGATGTCCCTGTTTCAGACTCCTGCACTCTAACTCCTGCAAGGTCTTTTGCTGCTTTCCTTCCCTCATTGACCAGTAGCTTGCCCAAACAGGTCTTAAAACCACAAAATCACTTGGATAGAGCATGTTCTGCAGTTGATTACAAACGAAGCCAATTGTTTCTTTACACACTAGCTTCAGGTTTCAAATTTGTACGCAGAGCGAAGCAGCAGCCAGTCTTCCCCATACTGCCCTGAGTAAAACTGCGTGCGAGCCAGAATCCTGCCTGCAGCCTGTAGCAGGGATGGCTGGCACCAGCGGGCACAGCCTGACCAGGGGTCTCCTACTGGCCACACCACAGTCACCCCCAGCCGGGGGGGGTCAGGACGTCAGCACGGGGCGGTGGGCAGGTCCTCAACGTAAAGGCCGCTCCGGTTTCCCATACTTTTCAGTCTTGACTCTTCAGATCAAGAATTAGGCTGGACTAAATTACAAGGGGACAAATTGCGGGAGATGGGCGAGATGGAGAGGGACAGCAAGAGCACAGCTGACTTTCCCCTCACCGCCAGAGGGCTCTGCCCAATGCCAGCAGTAGATGCTCTCCATCCCCTGTGCTTAGCAACGGGTCCAGAAGTTTCTCGCTACCTGATGCTGTGAGGGAAATGTGCCCTCAAAGCAGCCACCTACACTCCCAGCATCCCTGCCCTGCCCAGGGACGCAGGTCTGGGCAGCAGCTGGAAGGACGAGTGACAGTCCTTGGTGATGCTTTTCTGGTGCGTGACACCATGTGCCACGGCCATACTCTCTGTGCCGTGGCAAGAGCAGTTTGGAGCAGGCTGTTGTCTAGGAACCCACTGCCTTGCTCCACGCTCTTTTCCAAGCCAGCACAACGGACCCATGTGAGCGAACCCTGCCATGTCGGCCAGCCACCGACAGTGCCGCTTGGCAGGTCCCCCTGCTCGAAAGCACGGGCTGAATTTCTGGACCGGTTTTATGATGTGTGCTGACACCTGGTACATATTCACCCCCCACACCAAATAACCTGATGCGATACTGCCTTGCACACTGGGGAGTAGTCGGTGGGGAAGTACCTCAATGGGAGCACGTTGCAAGCACTGACGGATTCCAACATCTCGGCAGCTTCCCCATTGACTGTGCTGTCAGTCCAGGCAGTGGGGAATGGCAGGGGAAAGTCCAAAGGCGAAATACTTTGGTTGCAATCCTTCACATCGTGCCGGTCAGGCGAAGCAATACGTTGGCTTTGCTTAGCATTGCCAAGTCAAAAGAGCCTGCTGTTTGAACAGGGACTCCGTCCCAGCAGCCATTCCTGCCTGACTGTCATGCAGTACCAGGAGATCACTGCATGAAAGCACGAGCTGGCAGCCTGGGGACGTGGAGACAGCATGTCTGGATTCTTTGCTGCAGGCCTTTTGCAAGGAAGCCATTAGAGAAAACTTGGCAAATGAAACGAGAGTGAAAACAGTGATGAAACGAACCCCGTTTCCAACCCTGCCATCTGGGGAAACTGTGCAATACGAAGAGCCTGGCGTTCAGAAGAAAAGGTCTTTGCGTTATTTTTATGCCTTACGCCGAGGCTTCATGCAACCCCCAGCAGCAGGCCACTGAGAGAGTCGAGCTCACCGGGTCACAGCTTTTCGTCCAGGCTCTTGCCCACATGCCATCTCCCACCAGCAGCTGGAAGGCATCTCAGAGCTGAAGGCAGCAACTATTTATTGTAAAGGGATCCTGCCTAAGCCAAAGGAAAATGACAGAAGGGCATTGAAGGGCAGCTGCAAACCCACGCGCAGCCCCCGGGGTGCCGAGCCGCGGGATCCAGGCAAGCACTGCCATGTTTCACTCCCTCGGGACCTGGCATCCTGCAGTGGTTACGATCTCCCCCTCCTGCTGTTGGGATGACCTTAATGCTTTTATAGTGTTTTCCCTTACAGTCAAGGTGCCGGCTGTAGATATGCCTCACTTCAGGTGAGTTGTGGCCCTTCTAGGATTTATTAATTAGCCTTATCCAAACATCCACCGCTTTAAATCCATTTTTCTTTTCCTGCCAGTATACTGAACTCAGTTATCAACACACCACTATTTGGATTGAGATGTAGCACTCTGCTCCAAAAGAGTGCCTGTCTTAATGAAGAGCATGGAAAGTGTGAGCAGAGAGTGATATTTAAGAGGACAGTTGAAAGAGATGATAAACAATTCACTCTCTCCTCATACTGCTTTTATTTAAAGATTCACTTCATACTGATGTGAATGCCTCTGGCCAGGTACGGCTTTTGTACCATACAGAGCTGCCCAGCGGGAGAGGACGGATGCCGTGCAGCTCGTCAAGTCAGTGGGGGCTCGTACTTCAATCTCTGCAGCTATTCCCCACGCCTCCTGTGCAGCTTGACTGTAAACGCGACGGACAAGACCTAGCCTGGGCACTTCTACTGATATTTCTCCCTGAAGATCTCCAAGCACTTGACAAATATTCACAAATTTCTGAACTGAGCAGCACGCCAAGGAAAGCATAAACCTTTCAGCTCTTACCTTCAGATGCAGAGGAGATCTGAAGTCTGTAATACAGGAACTGCAGTGCTCCCCTCTGCCAAGGGTGAGCTAGCTGGAAGGGTACCGCAATCCCAAGTCGTTGCGGTACAGCAGTGGGCAGGACAAGAAGGGGTTTGGTGTCTGCCCCTGGATTTCACCTGCCATTTATCTGCTGTCTCTTTAATTAAAAACCAAAAAAAAATCTGCTGGTATAAACATGGCAGAAGCACGTGTCAGCGGCCCAGCTGTGCAAGAATGAGGTGGAAGGGAGCTGAACCTCCCTAACTGCGAGCTGCATACTTCGCATCACAAGGAGAAGGAAAAGGAAATAAGAAAAAAAGCAAAACTCCCCTTGTCCCATTAGAGCTGTTCTGTTTTTTCATGCATTGGAAAAAAAGCTAGGTTAGGACACTCAGGCAGGAAAACCTAACCCCCATAGTCCCCACTCCAGGCAGTATTTTATATTTAAAAACCCTTGAAAAAAAGGGATAAACAACAAGTGCTCATTTGTTTAGCCAGGCCCAGAACTGCATTCCCTTACTGCAGATTTCTTGGGGGAGGGGGAAGGGGGTTCCCTGCATGTTTTTATTAAGTTGCAGAACAGAAGGCTGCAAACAAGACACTCGTTCTGGGCCTACCTGCATTCCTTTTAAGTTTCAAAGCTAAAAAAGGGCTCCACGAGGTTTTTTTCCAAAACACGCACCTCAGGCTGCAGGTGGAGGAAATTCACACCATTTACTTTTGACACCTAAAAGCAAAATGCATCACTCAGTCCTCCTAAGTTCCCTCTAGAGCTGTCTCTGAGACACATTTCCCCAAAGTCCAGTGCGGTTGTCCTTGGAAGAAATGTGATTTTCTCTTCCCATTGACTATGGTGGAAGCCCAGGGACTTTTTTCCCAGCATCTCTGCCTTCCTATGAAATCTCACTGCAAACCGTTCTGAGTGCCAGATGGCTTCAAGGACACTTCTTCTCTCCAGAACAGCTGATTGCTTTGTTTGGATGACGGGGCTATGCATTGCAACAAGATCCTGCAGAAATGGCTTCATTTCTTGCTTTTATAAAGTTACCAGGGAGAACGCAAAAGCCCTGAGCATCACAGACTGGAACCTGAGACGCTTGGAAGATTCTTAATGATTATGCACAGGCAGGAAAGCACAGCTTGAGTGTGATTAGCTTCTCCCTCTTCTCTTTCCTTAAGATGCAGCAAAGCACGTTTCAGCCAAGAAAAAAAAAAAGAGAAAAAGCTGAAGTAACACGTATCAGATTAGTTGAGTATTTACACTTTGCTGAGAGGCATGCCCATTGCCGGTTCGGTGCAGAAGGAGGAAAAAGATAGCCAGAAGGTGCTGAAAAAAAAACACAGCTACCTCCCAATCGTGGTCACTCAGGGCTCTGTAAGGAACAGGTAATATGTCCTTTAAAAAAATAGCTTAGATGTTGTCATCCTTGTGAAAAATTGATTCCAAAAACCATATGAATTGTAGCAGGTCTCAAAGCAGAAGAGCTTTGGAATTTAAAAAGACCAACAAGAAAAGTGATTTCTGGAGTCATGAACCCTCTCGGTGCCGCACTGCTCACCAGAGTGAAATACCGAAACCATCAGGATCACGTGAAATGACATCTGAGCAGGACGTACATAATTTAGGGCATTCCAAGCACATACGCCTTAAATTCCTACCAGCAGTAGCCTGAACACGGTAGAGCATCCTTCCAGTGACACTTTTGCGGAGGGTGCACCATCCAAAGGTAACAGTGTTTTTTAAACAAACAAACAGACAAACCAACTCTGCTAAAAACATATTGAAGGCTGAGGGGCTTGTAAAGAAGGTTTGGAGAGGGTCATGCCAGCATGGACCACTCTGACAGAGACAGGTCTCAGCCCTCTGGCAGGCACAGGGTGTCCCAGAAGAACCACATTTGGTCGCATTAGAAATGTGGATCAGGAGAAAACACGCTACTGTACAATCTCCCATCCCTCTCCTTTGCCCCAGTTCTTCCATTAGCTTAATGAGACCCCAAGTGACCAGAGTGTAAGAGCTTCCACCCCACAAATGTGTCTCTTTTTCTACATTAGCTCTGAAAAAAAGTGGTTTTTGTCTCCTGGCCCGTCATTACAGTTTCGTTCAGAAAGCACAGGATTTAAAAACAAGTGCATAAAAATTCTCCAAAGGCTCCAGTCTGTTCCCAAACTCTGAAACATCAGTGTTCAAATAGATTGATTCCATAAACCCATCCTGACCCTTAAAAAAAAAGGCTTTGGTAGCCCTATATAAGCCTCAAAATTATAATCCATGTCAGAGTGAGTTTTAGGATTGAAAAAGTTGCCATATAAGCAGAATATAATTGTTGGTCAGCAATTGAAAACAAAAAAGCATTAGCAGGGTATGAAAACTTGATTAAAGGAGACTCAGGCTGTTCTCCCCTCCCTTTGCTCCTACCCCTGATGTTTTTCACCTGGCAACAGAGCAGACGAAATTTCTTTTTGGTGCATAACCTCTAGGGCAAAAGCTCTATGAAAGCTAGAGTAGTTCTGATAGCAAGGAGAAAAGCTATTTTGCCACTGCTGCAGGTCTCGTGGAAAAAAAGCTCTGAAGACACCCTGCAGCAGGCACAAACTCAGAGCATCAGAGCTGCGTCGTTTGGAACCTAGCTATAATTTGGCCTCTTTTTCAACACCCGTGGTTTCCTTATAGGGTAGTGGAGAGAAAATTTATTAGAAGTATCAGAGGCATTTAGGAGCATGAATTCTGCTGGGCTTGCAAGAGTTTTATGTATTATATCCTAGTGATGCTTTTGAAATACTTTCAAAATGTTTGGGGGGGGGGGGGAAAGGCTGGAGACTACCGTTAGACCAAATGACTGGTCAGGGAGGTGCAGATATATGGTCCTCACCTTATTTTTACTGTTCAGAAGGATCTTCCCCCATTCAAGCAGCTGGAGTGGAGTATTGTCTTCGGTTAGAGGTTACGGTCCATCACGTGGCGATACAGGGGAGTCTGCCTTCTGGTGGGGTCTGCCGAGCGCTGGCATGAAACAACTACCTTACAGAGGCACAAGAAATAATTGATAGCATTTGTGCTGTTTGCAGGTTGCTGCAGCCCTTGGAACAAGCATCACCTGGCAGAAGGCGCTACGTGAATGGCCTCACGTGCTTGGAAAGGAGAACCCATTCAACGACCAGATCGAAGCTATATTCAAAGACCAAGGTGGACACTGACTTCCAAACTGCCGGAGCCCTGCTGCGGTTTATGGCGGTGATTCCCAGGGCATTCCACTTAATGAGAGGATTAAAGACATCCACAAAAATAGGGGGAGGGCAAGCCATCAGAGCCAGCAGCAGTGGACGCAACACAACAGCATTCTTCTCAGTTTGTCTCTCTCTCACCTGCACAAGTAGGCTATGCTTTTTCTGTGAAGATACAAAAATAAAAATCAAAGGATACCAGCAAGCTAGAGCATTTATTGCACTGGTTTGTAAATCCATATGATTTTTTCCATATATAGCAAACTCCTAGCCCTACCTCATTGTTTTTTTCTTTTCTCTGCAGAACATTATTTCTGGGCTTTCCGTTTGTGCCGTTTCAACAGTTAATCTGATCCCAAAAGGGGGGGGAGGGGGAAACCCCAAACTCATTATGTTGCCATAAATTGTGTGTATGTAATTGCCCCAACTGTCAATACATTATTTAGCTGCTATTTGCTTATTAAAATGTGCCAGGAATAACGAGGCGCTAGAATTTTGATTTGCCTGGCAGCGTTAGTGGGGGCTGACTGAGCGCGGGTTCTCTTCCCCGCCATTAACAAGACGGTAACTTGACAACCCTTCATGTATTTAAAACAGGGCACTTTTTAAAGCTTTAATGCATCTTTACTCTTTTGCTTCCTGACAAATACGATCTACCCCCGGCCTGTACCTTTTACAGGCATGACCCAGGGGAACACTGAGAATACTGGGTACCTCTTACCTGCTGTACTTCGTATGCAGAGTTAAAGGTTGAGAATTACTAGTAGTTTTTTTTGTCAGCTTATCCAATGCTTTTAGCCAAATAAACGAGTAAATAACTAAAGAAGAAATGAGAGCGCTCTACCCTACTTGCAGCCCTGCTGGTGATGAAGGGCTCAGACAGCACAAAATGTCACTAATTACATGCGGAAACCATCTGGTAAAGAGAAAGTGTTAACTTGACGTGACTGAAACCCATCCCCGTTAGCCACAGCTCAGGTAGATTTGCTCTGCTCTTTGCTCTGAACATGTTCTGTGCGTACGGCGGGGTGGCCGGGGAGCCAAACCACAGGAGATGGCCTGGCCGCAGAGGGAGCTCCGCACACGGGCCGTGGCTGGAGGGGAGGCATCGGCCCACA